GGCCCACAGCAAGTATGTGCTTCATATCTGAAATAAGTCTATTTTGTTATATTGGAGTTTCAGCACAGTGGAACAGAATTGTCATGCTTGAAATTTTATATTGCTAGATAAATAATTTCCAACTTACATGCATGCATGGTATTGTGCAAATGGTTTATTTTGTGGCACAGGATGACTCATTTCTGTGAAAGCACATTTCAAAAACGTAACATGGAACGTCATACAGAAAGGTAAGAGAAGGAACATTGCAACCAAACAGCTGCCACAGAGATCCCAAAAGACCAAATAAATGCATTTACTTTAAAATACACTAGGGGGCATCAATCTGCAGAGCACAACATATGCTCAAGCCACTGTCAACATTTTTTAAGGGAATTGATAAATATGGCCAATTATTGCAATTCCATCGTCCTGTTTACAACACATCTACACTGTAGAATTGATGCAGTTGAACACCACTTTAACTGGCATGGCTCAATGCTCTGGAATCATGAGAGCTGTAGTTTCGCAGGGTCTTTGGCCTCCCTGCCAAGGAATATTGTTGCCTCAGCAAACTACAAATCCCAGGCTCCCATAGCATTGAGCTACCAGTGTGACAGCTAAAGGGATGGCAAGACCATTGTTATGAATTCATTTCTTTGTACACACCTATCACACTGGACAACTAGATTACAATGGAATGTATTGAATACACAACTTCCACCTTGCCAGAGATTGATGCATGGATGAATCATCTTCACTATATGGATGCCAACATAAATATTAAGTATTGACAATTGTGTTATCATTCCTTCAAACAGTTGCTTCTTCTAGAATACTCCTTTTTGGTAACATTAGTCTTTGTGCAGTCTTCAGCTAGCTTAGTGACGACAGCTGATCTCACAAAATCTCCAAGAAAATGAAATTGCACTTCCTTTTGTGTTATCCATACAGAAGGTGTTCTCTAAAGGAAAGGAAATGAGAGATCTGCCATATTCACCTTGACATACCGGCTGCATATGCCTTGGGGTCTTTCAGGCTAAAAATTAATTGAATAAAACATACCAAGCCAGAGTACAGAATAGTCCATTTTTGTACAACTCCTTATTTGTACATTTCTACCCTGCCTTTTTCCACCCTGTGGCGGGGGGGGGGGGGGGGGGGGCTCATGGCGGTTTACACTTAGGCAACTATTTGATGCTTTCAAAAACAATAAACAATTAAAAACATTTAAATAGAATTATAAAATACATTAAAACATATAAAACAATGCCTTCACTGTTAACCACGTTATCCAAAGTCATAGTCTAGGTTGTTTCAATAGTCATTGCACCTAATTCCATATTTATCTAGTGCACAAGATCTCCAAAGGCTTGATCAAAAGCCATGTTTTTACTTTCTTACAGAAGGTCAGGAGGGAGGGGGCTGTTCTAATATCCCTAGGGAGGGAATTCCACAGCTGAGGGGCCACCGCTGAGAAGACCCTGTCTCTTCTCCCCACCAATAGTTCCTAAAAAGTAGGCAGGACCGAGAGCGGGGTCCCCAGATGATCTTAAGCTCTGAGCTGGTTCATAGGGAGAGATCCATTCAGACAGGTAAGATGGTCCAGAACTGTTTGGGGCTTTATAGGCTAAAGCCAGCACTTTGAATTGTGCTCGATAGCAGACTGGCAGCCAGTGGAGCTGACATAATGGGGGTTGTGTGTGCCCTGTACCCTGCTCCGATGAGCAATCTGGATGCCACCCGTTGGACCATTTGAAGCTTCCGAACAGTCTTCAAAGGCAACCATATGTAGAGTGCGTTGCAGTAGTCTATTCAGGATGTTACCAGAGTGTGGACTACCATGGCCAAGTCTGACTTCCCAAGGTACAGACACAACTGTCACACAAGTTTTAATTGTGCAAATGCTCCCCTGGCTTTGAACTGGATTATCTGAGTCCATACTCAGATAATGTGGGATTTTCCACCTTGATATTCTGGGATATAGGGGTGTGTAGAAGGGCTCCTAGCAGTTGTCGTTTGGTGAGTCTGACGACTCCCAAGATTCCATAAGATAGATCCATGGCAATTAATGTGGGGTCGAGGGTCGAGCTGTATTAATTCTACAGTGTAGATGCACCCCTTTCCCAAGCTCTCGATTGTTCTGTCCTAGACCTCCATAAGATCCTATAGTTCTTCAATCAGAATATCGTAATTAGAGCATAGAACTTCATCCTAGATATTTTATAACTAAAACAAAAAGACTTTGCTGTTATTATCGACTATCAACTTAACTTCAAATTGCAAACTTTCCAGATCTCTATTTGTTGCCTATCCCACTTAGTTTTAGGAAATTCAGGGCAATGGCTTCCTTGGGTGAATTAATCCACCTGATCATTTTAGTAGTTCATGGTATCCATAGAACTCACCTCCAGAACCATATATCAAGTTGATTTCCTTCCACTCAGTTTTCTTCACTTTTCTCTTTTACAAAGGACCTTAGTTTGTCATAGGACCTTGACAGCAGGTTTTTTTTGTTATTGTTTCCAAAATAAAAATACAGTTTTCATATTAATGTGATATTAATATAAAAACACTGATTACATTGATGCCATAATGACACAAAACCAAAAAAATGGGACACTAACAACAAAATATTATGGTTACTTTTCCCATTGGTTCTCCAACTGATTCATATTTACAGAATGGAGCCACATTGCAGATTTATAGCAGTTTGACACCACTTCAACTGTCATAGCTCAATGCTATGAAATTCTGGGGCTTGTAGTTTTTGAGGGAATATTTAGCCTTCCAATCAGAGCTCTAGTGACACATCAAACTAGGAGTGCACTACACGGTAGAATTAATGCAGTTTGATACCACCTTAACTGCCATGGCTCAATGCCACAAAAGCATAGGAGTTGTAATTTGGTAAGGTACCCTCAGACTTTGACCTTATAAAGACGAAAAACTACAATTCCCATGATTCCATGAGATTGAGCCATGTGTTAGAGTCAAAATTCTACATGGTAGATGACTCCATGGTAGATGGTAGATGACTCCACTTTAACTGACTTGGTTTAATGCTATGAAATCCATTTGGAGTTTGGTGAGAAACCTAACCAGCACATTTTGGTGGAGAAGATTAAATACCTGGTAAAACTACAACTCCCATGACACCATAGCAATGATCCGTAGCTGTAGCATCTATACGGTAGAATTAACACAGTTTGATGCCATTTCAACCACCATGGCTCAATGCTATGGAATCATGGGAGTTGTAATTTGGGGAGGCACCAGCACTTTTTGGCAAAAAAAAGTCTAAAGACAACCACTAAAACACCCATGGTTCCATGGCAATGAAAAGTGAAGCCATGGCAATTAAAGTGGTGTCAAACCACTCTAATTCTGTTGGGTGGCTAGAATTTATTTATCATGTCAGAAGCAAATTGAGGATAAATTTTAAATGTACTTAAAACACAAAGTTAAGAACTTGGCATTATACTAAATGTCTTTTGACCAGTAGCTGGCCACTTGGAGTGCCTCTGATCTCGCTGTGAGACTGCATTGTAATAGGTAGTCTGTTGTTTACTCTTCTCCACACTTGCATGTCACAGACACCACTTTGTCACCACATTTCTTAAGGCTAGCTCTGCATCTCATAGTGCCAGAGCGCAGTCTGTTCACCGCCTTCCAAGTCACCCAACCTTTTGTGTACCCAGGAGGGAGTTTCTCATTCGGTATCAGCCATGGCTTGAGGTTCCGGGTTTTAGCCGGTCACTGTTGGACTCTCACTTGCTGAGGTGTTCCTGCGATTATCTCTATAGATTATAAGAAGCTATTTCTTGATTTAAGGCATTGGCATGCTGGCTGATATCTGAAGAGAGGATGGGCCAGAGATGTCACTGCCTTGGTCCTTTCATTGTTGGTTGCTACTTCCTGGCGGATGTCAGGTGACGCAATACCAGCTAAACAGTACAATTTCTCCTGTGGTGTAGGGCATAAACAACCTGTCATAATGTGGCACGTCTCATTAAGAGCCACATCCACTGTTTTAATGTGGGGAGATGTTGCTTGTTAGGCAGTCCCTCACAATCCGAGGATGATGGCCCTCCAAGTGTAGTGTTTTGGCAGTGGGCCCGTAGGTGGCTGTCGAGTCCTATTCCTGATCCGCATGTTCTCCCAAAGTGAGGACATCAGTTTCCAGGTGGAAAGTGGTCCCGTTCAGGGTTGGCTTGACATGCTTTCTTCTTGGCACGTTTCTCCCTTTTACCCTCCATTTGCACCTCTTCGAGTTCTGCAGCACTGCTGGTCATAGCTGACCTCCAGTTAGAGTGTTCAAGGGCCAGGGCTTCCCAGTTCTCGGTGTCTATGCCACAGTTTTTAAGATTGGCTTTAATCCCATCTTTAAATCTCTTTTCCTGTCCACCAACATTGCGTTTCCTGTTCTTGAGTGTGGTGGAGTCGTGGAGACACCTTCTTTGGAGGCTTTTAAGCAAAGGTTGGATGGCCATCTGTCTGCGGTGCTTTGAATGCAATGTTCCTGATTCTTGGCAGGGGGTTGGGCTGGATGGCCCACGAGGTCTCTTCCAACTCTATGATTCTATGATTTTATAGTAACTGCTGAGATGTAGTCCACACTGGACATGCGTATTCAGCAGCAGAGTAGCAAAGCGCAAGGGCAGATGCCTCCACTGTGTCTGGTTGTGATCCCCAGGTTGTGCCAGTCAGCTTTGGTATGATACTATTTCTAACACCCACTTTTTGTTTGACATTGAAGCAGTGTTTCTTATAAGTTGGAGCAGGATCCAGAGTGACTCCCAGGTAGTTTGATATGCTCCAATGCTCCAGTGGGATTCCTTCCCAGCCCAGGTAATCCTCAGAGCTCGAGATGTTTGTGCGTGATGTGTGGCTAGAAAAAAAGAAAAAAGAAACGCTTCTCCAGCCCTGCCCCATTCAAGTCAGTTTCCTAGAACCTAGCTGGGTGAGAGCTTCTGTGCTGCTCAAATTGTTAGGGGAGTGGCATGCGCCTTTGGTGTGTTTTTTTCCTCCCTCTGCAAGGAAGAGAAGCAGCTCAGCCCTGACTTGCCAAATATGGGACGTTCCTCCTTGGTTTTGGCTGCGCTCCTTCCTCCGGCTTCTGGATCCAGGACTGCTCCTTCTTCTCTTGCGCCGCCCAGAATGCCAGTGGGTGTCTCCACAGGGCCGGGCTCCTAGGATCCCGGCTCTTTTCTCCTCTGGGCCAGGTCCCGAAGGGATCTCGGGCTCGGCGGCCCCTGGATCGGAGTGGATCCCAACAGGTAAGGCGGAGAAGGAGGAAGGAGCCCCTTTCCTTCGCCCAAAGGGGGATGAGCCACTGCAAAACAAGGAGTATTTCTTCACTCCACTCACTCTGCTGGATTAGAAACCCCTGAAGCTCCCCAAACTGGCTTTGAGGGGTCTAATATATGTTATGAGGAGGGGCTGCTTTTTTAAAAGGGGGGAAAGTTATTAAAATATATTATGAGTGCCTTGGAGTCCTTAGCCATGCCTCTAAAGTATTTCTTGGGTCAATAGGTCATTAGGAAATAAGGATTTCTATAGTGTCAGTGAGGACATGAGGTTCTTTTCTGTTGCCATAAAGTTTGAAACTTTGCCTGCTGGACATCTTTTCTTCACCAAATTCCAAATGTGAAGGGAACATGGACGCTCACAAGGGACCCTAACAAGTAGGGTCTTGTCCTTATCGCAGACAGCAATGTTCTTTCCTTTTGATAGTCCTTAGTTTCAACTTCTGGGAACAATCCGTGTAATTACTCTTATGTAACCATGATGATGTACATGCTAGACTGGTTTGGGGGAGGCTTACCGCCTGTTTCGAGTGAAGCACTCATCCAAATGTCTTGTGAAAGCTTGTGGCTGATGTTGACTGCAGTCAATGAGTCCCTTTTTAAAAGTCTGCTAAGTGACTAATATACTTACAATTCTCTCAACAGATTCTAGGTTATGTTATTTCTTTATGTGTTGCTGCTTCAGCTCCTGCAAACATTGCTTGCATTTCCTCACAATTCAAGACAGCCCAGGGAACATGTGATGCAAGATGAAGGTAGGTTTCTTTTTATATAAGCAACATCCTGTAAAACAAAACTCTTTTGTTTTCATCGGCTTGTATACAGATTTCAGCCTTCCTTCATTCTAAAGTAAATAATCTGGGTAGTAAAGGTAAAGGTTTTCCCCTGACTCTGAGGGTTGGTGCTCATCTCCATTTCTAAGCCAAAGAGCCACCATTGTCCGTAGACACCTCCAAGGTCATGTGGCCAGCATGACTGCATGGAGCGCCATTACCTTCCCTCTGGAGTGGTACCTATTGATCTCACATTTGCATGTTTTCGAACTACTAGGTTGGCAGAAGCTGGGGCTGACAGCGGAAGCTCATGCCGCTCCCCGGATTCAAACCTGCGACTTTTCAGTCAGCAAGCTCAGCAGCTCAGTTGATGTTCAAGAAGGGTCTTCATGGGGTATGGATTGGTATAAATTATTGCAACATACACCCCAAAACTATGATCCGTCCCTTAAACAGCACATCTTAGGGGATTTCCCAGTGCCTGACATGTTATATCCAACTAGTTTCACGCAATCAGGACTGTACTGTAATACAAACTGTATCTGGAATTCATTACTCATCTTTAGCTATACCGGGTCCTGCTGCATTTTATGAAATCTTAAATCTTATCATGTGACGTTTTATGTGTAATCGCTGTGTAAATTTATGTTGTCATCATTTTATATGCTTATGTATTGTGTATTTTATGTGTGCGGCACTTTGGAGATACCCCAAGTCCCTTTGGGGAGATGGTGGCGGGATATAAATAAATAATCAAGGGTCTGGAGAACAAGCCCTATGATGAGCGGCTTAAAGAGCTGGGCATGTTTAGCCTTCAGAAAAGAAGGCTGAGAGGAGACATGATGGCCATGTATAAATATGTGAGGGGAAGTCAAAGGGAGGAGGGAGCAGGCTTGTTTTCTGCTGTCCTAGAGACTAGGACATGAAACAATGGCTTCAAACTACAGGAAAGGAGATTCCACCTGAACATTAGGAAGAGCTTCCTGACTGTGAGAACTGTTCAGCAGTGGAACTCTCTGCCCCCGAGTGTGGCGGGGGCTTCTTCTTTGGTAGCTTTTAAACAAAAGCTGGATGGCCATCTGTCAGGGGTGCTTTGAATGCAATTTTCCTACTTCTTGGCAGAGGGTTGGACTGGATGGCCCCCGAGGTCTCTTCCAATTCTATGATTCTATTATTATTCCCAGTTAGCTGGCAGTCTCCATCATCAGTAATATTTGTAGTCTTCAAAACCTCCTTTGTAGTCCCTGCATCTTTCTTGATCCTATTAAATGGATGTAAAATCTGTGTAAATGTCCCTGCAAAGTTTCTCTGCAAGAAAATGTCATTTTTATTCAATCTGTTAAAATGGCTCAGATCAGATGAACCTCGGGCTCTTTTCACTTTTCCCAACCTGCTTCAGTTCGACACACTCCAGTCCCCTAACCTAGCAATAGTCTTCGATACATACCCTGTACATGCTACTTTTAACCAGGTCTTCTGGGGCCCCTCCTGATATGACACAAGTGATATCACTATCCTAATGTCTCCTACGTAATGCTTAATTATTAGGTAAATGTGAACAGCTCCAAGGCATTTCAAGGGTTCATTGAGTTCTGCAATATCGAATGCAAACATTCAAAATACTGAAGGAGATTGTAGCACTGATTTTAACCTTCATGAATATTCCAAATTAGAGTAGACTACTAAATCAGTTACGGTTGCTTTCAAGTAATTTCTGACTTATGGTGACCCTGGGGTTTCCTGAGTCTGAGAGTGTGTGACTTGTCCAAGGTTGCCAGGTGCCCCAGACTACCAGCTAAAGGTTTCTGTACTGAAAAGCAATTTACAATAGTTAGGAATAAAAGGTAAAAGTTTCCCCTGACATTAAGTCTAGTCGTGTCTGACACTGGGAGATTGGGCTCATTTCCATTTCTAAGCTGAAGAGCCGGCGTTGTCTGCAGACACCTCCAAGGTCATGTGGCCAGCATGACTGCATGGAGCGCCATTACCTTCCCACTGGAGCGGTACCTATTGATCTATTCACACTTGCATGTTTTAGAACTACTAGGTTAGCAGAAGCTGGGCCTAACAGTGGGAACTCATCCCACTCTCCAGATTCGAACCGCCAACCTTTCGGTCAGCAAGTTCAGCAGCTCAGCGGTTTAACTCGCTGTGCCACCAGAGAATACCCAATGGGAAATCCTACCTGTGAGACCATTGCATTTCTCTCAGTAGATCTTCTTTCTACCAGTACTGTACTTTCCTAGTCTGTGGTTGCAGTTTTGTAGTTGCATCAGAATAATTACATTTTTATATTAAACGTTTTGCTGGCCTTTGTGCTAATTAGAGAGTTAAAAAAGAAGCCAGAACTAGGATTCTGATTGCTGAAGGGTTCAGCATCCAAAAAGCCAATTGGACTGGCACTTCAACACATGGCGATATGACAGCATTTGCTATTTCACTTAAGTTAGTAGGTGATTTGGGGAAGCCCATGTGAGTTGTGTGGCATATACAGCTTTATAGTCCGATCAGAAAAAGGAGATCAGGGAGCAACCAGGAGATTGTTCTGGTTGCTGCTCAGTATCTGAAATGTTTTAGGAGCTGAAAACATGGCTCTTTAGGCAGGCTTTTGAAAATGACCAAGGTATCAGCTAATCTAAAGGACTACTGACACTGGGACTTTAACATTTGAAATCTGGCTGTGGCTAGGATGTTGTACTATCCATTTTAATAGTAGTTATTGCTATGTTTTATTGACTATTCTTTTAAATTGAGGCTGGTCTTTTATTTTGTAATGTATTGTTTTATGTTAATTGATACTGTTATTGTTTTACATGTTGATGTAATTTTACCTGCATTTTTATGTGTTTTATGGCAGTATTATGTGCTGCTGTAAGCTGTCCTGAGTCCTTTTTGGGAGATGGTGGCAGGATACAAATAAAGTTGTTGTTGTTGCTGTTGTTGTTGTCTGCTGCCTTATACAGTGTATGGCCAGCATATGTTAATTTCAAAATGTATTTTATTTATAATTTTTATTTGCCATTTTTCCAATCACCAAAAGGCAATAGAAGTTGAAATAATTTCACATGCTTATATCATGCAAAATTAGAAATGAGGATATTCCAATACATTACATGAAACTGGTCCTTATGATCTGTTTGGTTTTAGAGCTTTCTTATTCTTGGTGTAACAAAACAGTGGTTTTAATGGATCTAAGTATGCTATCTTTGGAGTTATCATTGTGTGATGTGTTGCTGGTATTCATTCTTGAATTTCCTCCTTTTAATTATAAGAAGCATTCCCAAAATAATTTAGAATGTATTCAGGCCATGTTATGTTTCTGGAAATGGCAAGGCTATTTTCTTTTTCAAATTGTTAAGCATTCTGCTGTTTTTGTATTTTAAATTTGGTTTTGGTATTTTAAAATAGTGCAGCGGTAGGCCACGTACAATATATTTAATATTAAATATAAACTCATAGAATTTCCTGCCTAAACTTTTACAAGTCTTTCCAGGTTATATTTTATCGACTCCTGTCATGATTCCCTTTAATAATAATTTCAAGTGATTTTTAATGGACAGTGAAAGAGATTGATTGTAGAAGTGTTTCCTCAGTACTTGGGAGACTCCTTGTGTATTGTAAAAGACTTCATGTTTCAAATTAATTATAGAAATGTTTTTTAAAAATTAAAACCTGCGACAAGGAGGTGGATCTCAAGATCTTTTCTAGGACATAGACCGGGAAACCTTTTCTTTGATGGATTTTTGGCTGTAAATCCAAACCAGGCCAATATGTAGTAATATTAATCGTAAAATCCCCTCCAGAGCTATAGCCACAGTACAAAGAAAAAGGCAATCCAAATGCTCCAGCCTGTGTAGGGTATATCTGTGCTTCCAGGATGTGGTGTGTGAAGGCAAATAGGAAATTGACATCCTAATTTCTCTTCCAATAAACATCATGGATATGGGAATCAAAGTTGTGGATACACATGAAGAGATTAAATTGTCCTCTTTCCCTGTCTTTTTGTGTGTCGTGCATGGGTGGAAAGGAGTTTCATTGTTTTACAGTATTATGATTTTTCTTTACTCATCCAGACTTCTTTATAGTGGAATATAGTCATAGCATGCTCTACCATGGTGCTAGTCGCCAGTCCTTATCCTGAGTCCTTTAGTAGTACACAGGTATAACTCCTTGGCATTACGGTACTTCTTTAACATATTATTAAAATATTGTGCTAGAAGTAGAAATAATACAGAAAGAACTGATACAAAAGTAGTTCACCATGTGTTAGGAAACCACTCTTCCCAAGAAAACCCTTAAGAATGTGCACATGTGAAATGAAGCAATCAAGTTCGTTACAAGTTGCGTAAGTTAAAAAAATTGAAGCTTCTAGAGACCACTTGAGAATACATGTTGAGACAATATTTTCTTTCACCTACCTTTTCTATTTAATTATTTCCATTTTGTGGCCAAACTTACAGATGTTTGTTTGGTATTTTAACATGTTGGGCCAGGTGGTGCGGTAGATTTATCTGCTCTCCCCTTTCCTCTCTCTCTCTTTTTCATGTATGTTTCAGGAATTCTGAAGCTAGTTGTTGTTGGCTTTGTTTGATTTAAGCAAGTATGTCTGTATTTAATGTGGTGGGAAAGGAAAGGAGGGGGAAGGGGGCTTCTTGAAAGCCCCAAACAGGATGGCAAGGCTCTTCCTCCAGGCTAGTTGGGAGCATGAACACACTCACCATAAGATGAAATTAGAGCTCCATTTGTATTTTATCTTATATTATTGCATTGCAAAAATGATGAAATTGGTTTCAATTTGAATGGGATACTATTTCATCCTCTCCTTATGCAGCTGCACATCCCAAGAGACTAATATATTTGTTGATCCTATAATAACAAACCAGTTCTAGCAGTTTCCATTTTTATCAGGAACAGATATTTTATAATGCTACTAGCTGTGCCCTGCCACGCGTTGCTGTGGCCTATAGTAAAACTTATCAAAGTTGAGGTAGATATCTGGACTATTATGAAAGAGAGGTACCTACCTATTCCTTCCCCCTTTTCCTCCCCCTTTCTCTCCTTTCTTCCTTCTCTACCTCTTTCCTTCTTTCACTACTTGGTTTCATCCTTCTCTCTTTCCTTCATTCCCTCCCCCTTTCTTCCTTTGCCTTTCTTCCCTCCCTGTTTGCTTCCTTCTTTCACTTTTTATTTCCTTTTATTTTACCACCATCATAACAATAACAATAATGCAATGTATTGCCTCTGGGACCTGACACCTCTCCCATTCCTCCAGGGTCTCATAGGAACAATAGCATAATAATAATAATAATAATAATAATAATAATAATAATAATAATAATAATAATAGAAATAACAACCTTTACCCGCCACGTGTTGCTGTGGCCAATCTTCCCTCTTTCTCTCCTTCTTTCCCTCCTTCCTTCCTTCCTTCCCTCCCATCTTTCCTTCTCCTCTTCTTTCTCTATCTCTTTCCTTCCTTCCCCCTTTTTCTTTCTTTTCTGCTGTCTCTCTTTTCTTTCCTTCCATCTTTCCTTTTCTTTCCTTTTCTTCTTCCTTCTTTCTCTAACTTTCCTTCCTTCCCCCTTTTTCTTTACCTCCCTTTCTCTTTCTTCCTTCTTTCCTTCCTTCCTGTCTTTCCTAGATTTTGACAGGGCGGGAAGGGGCGGGGGGTGGGGTTTGGAGGTGGCGTGAAGTAAAAGGAGGTAAGATTGGGGTGGGGGAGTGATGGAGCGTGGGGTTGTGTGTGTGTGTGCAGCGGCGGGGGGAGTGATGGAGCGTGGGGTTGCGTGTGTGTGTGCGGCGGCGGGGGGAGTGGTGGAGCGTGGGGTTGCGTGTGTGTGTGGCGGGGGGGAGTGGGTTGCGTGTGTGTGTGCGGCAGCGGAGGGAGTGATGGAGCGTGGGGTTGGGTGTGTGTGTGCGGCGGCGGGGGGGAGTGGGGTTGCGTGTGCGTGCGGCGGGGGGTGGGGGAGTGATGGAGCGTGGGGTTGTGTGTGTGTGTGCGGCGGCGGGGGGAGTGATGGAGTGTGGGGTTGTGTGTGTATGTGCGGCAGGGGTGTGTGTGTGTGCGGGAAGCGGCGCGGCGGGGCTTGGAGTGGGCATGGTTTCCACAGAGGGAACGTTGGCCGGAAGGGCATGTGCGCGCGCCAGGGAACTTGCGGCTGGGCGCCAATGCGCATGCTCAGTTGTTTTGCCGTTTTGTGAGTGTGTTGTTGTGTTGTTTTTCATTTTGAGTAGATATGTTTGTACCTTGTGGGTTGTGTTATGGGCATGGGAATTTTGGTTAAGTTTCGTTGGTTTTTTTAGAGTTTTGTTGTTTTGCCGTTTTGTGAGTGTGTTGTTGTGTTGTTTTTCATTTTGAGTAGATATGTTTGTACCTTGTGGGTTGTGTTATGGGCATGGGAATTTTGGTTAAGTTTCGTTGGGGGATTTTTGAGTTTTGTTGTTTTGCCGTTTTGTGCGTGTGTTGTTGTGTTGTTTTTCATTTTGAGTAGATATGTTTGTACCTTGTGGGTTGTGTTATGGGCATGGGAATTTTGGTTAAGTTTCGTTGGTTTTTTGAGTTTTTTGTTTTGCCGTTTTGTGAGTGTGTTGTTGTGTTGTTTTTCATTTTGAGTAGATATGTTTGTACCTTGTGGGTTGTGTTATGGGCATGGGAATTTTGGTTAAGTTTCGTTGGGGATTTTTGAGTTTTGTTGTTTTGCCGTTTTGTGAGTGTGTTGTTGTGTTGTTTTTAATTTTGAGTAGATATGTTTGTACCTTGTGGGTTATGTTATGGGCATGGGAATTTTGGTTAAGTTTCATTGGGGGATTTTTGAGTTTTGTTGTTTTGCCGTTTTGTGAGTGTGTTGTTGTGTTGTTTTTAATTTTGAGTAGATATGTTTGTACCTTGTGGGTTGTGTTATGGGCATGGGAATTTTGGTTAAGTTTTGTTGGGGGATTTTTGAGTTTTGTTGTTTTGCCGTTTTGTGAGTGTGTTGTTGTGTTGTTTTTCATTTTGAGTAGATATGTTTGTACCTTGTGGGTTGTGTTATGGGCATGGGAATTTTGGTTAAGTTTCGTTGGGGGATTTTTGAGTTTTGTTGTTTTGCCGTTTTGTGAGTGTGTTGTTGTGTTGTTTTTCATTTTGAGTAGATATGTTTGTACCTTGTGGGTTGTGTTATGGGCATGGGAATTTTGGTTAAGTTTCGTTGGGGGGTTTTTGAGTTTTGTTTCCTCGTTGGATGCCCCTAACAAATTTATATATATAGATTGGGGTCTTAAACTGCCTATTCAATTTGAAGTTATTTACAATAGTTTACATACCAGGAGGGAGAGCGTCATAGCAATGCAGACATACCTTATTTAACAAAGCAGCCAAAAAGGAAGCTCATTTTTTTACAAATGCTTTTTATCCTTGCCCGTCTTCCAACTTTTCCTCCCCATCCTTAGTAGTTTTTAGCAGCACTTTCGTTGGGAGGAGGATGAAAGAAAAACATGAACTTTCAGTGGAAAATTGCAATAAACACTGCAATAAAGCTTGAGTTGGCATAGGGTGGGATTCTCCTCTAGACAATTCTAATATGGCTATGTGTGCCTGCCCACAACAGAGAAGGTAAACAGCAACTATGTCCAGAACCTCTTACTCAGCATATAAATACTGTAGTAATAGAGAGGAGCAGACGAGCCTGCCTTGCGCCTACCCAACCATGTTAACAAAGCATGAATCTATAGGTTTGGTTACGTGCATTTTAAAGAAACCTTAAAATGGACTCTAAAAGATCTAAAATATGTTTGTTTACGTATGCAAGGCTTATCTAACCTGACTGTTTCATTTCATGAGTGCATATTGTCAGTTCTGAAAAAAGTGTGGTGAAATGTATCCTTTTTCTGGTGTAAGAACCTATCCATATTATTTTTTATTCTGGTAGTAAATCTTCTGCTGAAAAAATAATGCAACTTTGTTAAATGAAGTGTTGATGTATATATTATTGACAGGAGTATCCATATTCCACTGTACTCCTACAATTAGAATGCCGGTTGAGCCTTCCCAAAAGTCCAGAGCCTGTTGTTGTTGTTGTTGTTATTATTATTATTATTACGTTATTACTTTTTTCTTATTTTTTAAATAATTTTTCCCCTTTCTCTCTCTCTATATATATCTTTTTTTCTTCCCCACTTTCCTATAATTATATTGTTCTCACACTTTCTTTGTATTTTTATCCTTAAAACAAAATCTTTTTTTCCTTTTTGCTCTTTCTTTAATAAAAATTATTTTTTTAAAAAAAGCTCAGAGCCTGAAATCCTGGCTCTTCTACATGAGTGCAGATAACCAAGAGTAAAAATTGAGGGAGAAATAAAAAAACAACAACAAATAAATAAATTATTATTATTATTATAATTAATAATAATAATTAAAAAGAACAAAAATAAAACAAGCCAGGAGAAGAAACTTAAATTGCAGAGGCTAATTTAAAAGCTGGATCTTATAACAGTAGGGTAGCCAAGGTGATCTCAAATAGAGTAATTTCACTGTCAAAAAAACCCCTAGTGGTTGACTCTAATAACCTGCCATTTGAAGAATTTTTTTGCTTTAAAATATAAAATGCCAGCATCTCAACCCAGTCGTTGTCTCCCTGCTTTAAACAAGTACTTTAATTAATTTCAGATTGTTGTCGATATGACTTTTAACACTGCAAGGGCCTTTAAACATATGTACTAAATAGTATTGAAGGATATTGAGAAGCTGGAAGGAGTTCAGAACACAGAAACCAAGGTTATCCAAGATCTAGAGCATTTTTAACTTGATGAAGACATGATCTTTAAATATTGGAAAAAGCAACATTGCTTTCTGTAGCTCCAGAGACAAGAAAAGATATTTGACCTATGGTAAATAGAAAGAACTCCCTTTACCATAAGAACTATTCAATAATGGAATAGACTGCCTTGGATGATAATAGACTCTGGTTTTATTGCAAGTGTTTAAACAGAGATTGAGTGGGGTTTGTGTATTCCTGCATGGACTAGATGGCCATTGTGTTGTCTTCCAACTTAAAGAGTCTATGATTCTGACTTAGACCTATGTAATGCATCATAAAAACGCTGTGTCCCAGCAATATGTATAAGCTATAAATATGTATAAACTATATGTGATTTCCTCCATGTGGCTGTAGTTACAGAACTCAACTTTCTTTTTTGCATGTTACTATTGGGAACTATAGGTTTTAGGAACAACTTTCATGAGTGGTTATGCTACTGCTTTTTAAAATTTCATGGTCTTGTTTCTAATATAAATATTGCTTTGTTTTTGTTAGTGTTCATCTCAGCAGAAAAAGCTAACTTGTTCATTGGACGGCACCTTCTAAACAACAGATTTGATTTTGAACTGTTCACCCCAGGAAATCTTGAAAGGGAATGCTATGAAGAGCAATGTAATATTGAGGAAGCAAGAGAATTTTTTGATGATCCCGAAAAAACGGTAATTATTTTACCTTTTTTCACTTGTGAAAGAGACATGTCAAAGATCAACGCTGAGGATTAGTTTGGTTGGATAACGGCTTAATTTAGCAACCTGTGCACAACAGCCAATATTGTGTATTGGTCCTGGTAATGACAGAGGATGTTGCCTTCTATGTTAATTTAAAGCCGCCTGTGTTTTTCAATCCTGTAAAATATTGTACCATGATAGAAAGCAAAACTATATAGAACACTATTGAATAAGATAAAGTCTTCACAAACAAATCAATATTCCTTCTCCCACTTTAGGGATCTAATCCTTTTACTGACACTGTGGGATTAGCTTTTTTTTTGGCCTCCACATAATAGACAGAGGGAATAGAGTTGCTGATTGGGAATAACTTTACTGTTGTTCACTTTGTTGATGAACAGGAACAATTTTTCCGGCACTAAAGCATTGTGGCTGGAACTCACTCTCTTTCGCCTTTATTAAAATCAACAAACCATAGAGCAGTGAAATAGTTATATGTATCTTAAGCACATGTAGACAGAAGTGCAAACACTGCATGTTGGAAAATATAAACAAGCCATGCTGGAATGGGACAGTTGGATATAATTACAGGCAGATAAATACAGTCTAAAAACAGCTTAATAAAATACATTTAAAATGCAATACAAATGAATACAATAAAACAGATCACATAAATGAATTAAATATATATTAAAACTCCAAAGCCATATTACTGGTAAGCAAACGTTTGATATTCCTTGAAGTCCTCAAAGTATGATCATATAGCACTTCAAAACCTCACAACCTTTTTTTTTGTATCCCCTAACAAATATATCCAATGTCATTCCAAAGACCTTCATGGGAATTTAAGAGAGGTGCAACTAGTTTTAGGCTGTCATCTTTGTATAATGTACAGTAAAAAAAAGTACATGAGATGAAGGTTCTTCCAGTCCCTCCACATAAGGGCATACACTATCTTTATAGTTAGTTCATTGAAAACATTCTTTTAACAAATAGAATTGCATTTAATCTAACTCTTCTGAACATACTATGGATTTAACAAAGTCAAAATGTAATGTCTACAAAGCAGAAAATTGTTATCTTGAAAAAAGATGTCTGGATCTGCAGTACAATATCTTTGTGCGTATGGATGACAGTGTATTGCAGAATATGGAAATTGTCTGGAATGGCCATAAAACAATGTGCTGGAGGGTTAGGTTGTCAAAATAATCATATCTCATTGTGGAGGTAGGATTCAGAAACTGCAGCATTGTCACAACTGTTCCAGTTTAAATCTTCTACAGTTATTGAGGAACTTTTTAAAAAGTTCTATTGAAGTTTATTTATTTGGGATTATTGTTACTAGCTGCATTTTCCTGATAGTTTTGTCTTCCAGTTGAGATATATGGATGTTGCATTACATGCCAAACAGGAACTGACAAAGGTGTTTATTTTAAAATGTATCTGACACAAAGATTCAGCCATTAATCACACAGTATATATTAAGGGTGAGGTTCTGAAATATCCAGTGAATAATTTGTGATTAGGCCACTAAACATACTTAAAAATTAGAGTATAGAACATTAACTCTGATAAACAAGTAACTAAATTGCATTTTATTTATAGTAATAGTAATAACTCAAAAGGCACCAAATCCCATTTGATCTTGGAAGTTAAGCAGGGTGCAATAGGCAATATTTCAGAGGAAGGAGTTGGGAAAACTACCTCAGAGTATTCCGTGCCTCAGAAAAACCCTGTGAAATTCATGGGATTGTCATAAATTGTCAGGTGACTTGAAGACGCTTGTGTGTGCAGTCACAGTGGTAATAAGTACTAGTTATGTTTCAGTCTGGATTTTAGACCCAAATAGAGTAGAACCATTAACTATATGGGAATTAGGTACAGCAATATTTCTGTTAATTCTACTTTATCAGATATTAAAACTAGATTTAAACTTCAGTTTCCAGATGCTATAATACATGGCAGTTACTAGTATTGGCAGTCAACTGTCTGCTTTTTTGTATGCATTATGCACATCTAACAACATATTGTTCCCTTAATGTATATATTTTGAGGCTTGCAAAAAAGGGAAAGTTAAATAATATTGTCATAAATGCAGGTTTTAATATCCCAATTCAAGTTCTATCCAATGCAACTCTTGTAGTTTTAGGAAATATTTATTTATGTCCCACATTTCTAACCCGCCCTTCTCAACCCCCAAGGGGGGACTCAACAATTCAATGCCACAAGATAATACAAATATAAAAATAGTTTAAAACAGTAAAAAGAACATTAAGTTAAAAACACATTATATACATTCTTAAATGTTTGGGTGGTGGGAGTTGGGCTGTGTGATCTTGTCAAGGCTCTCAGCTGTTTTGTTTTTCTTTATTGTCTTAGAAACATTTTTGGAATGTATATACATCAACGGGCTTTGGGTCAAAAAGAGGTAAGACAAAATCACAATAAATCTCAGCTGCATTTTTGCTTTTTACATTGCGTGTAATAATGTTTTTTATTTACAGTCCTCTATTCAGAATTTAGTGCTATAAATTCATCCATAGGTCGGAAAAGAAAGGAAGACACACAACAACAAAAGCCTCCAGTTTTTTAAGTGTTTTCTCCTGTTGCATAATAGGAGCTTCATTTAAAAAAAACTGAATCAAGGGTGAGCTATCTGGGATCTTTCATATTGTTTGTACTGTAGTTCTTATTCTCCCTCCCTTTTATCTATGCTAATGGAGCCCCCGGTAGCGCAGTGGGTTAAACCCTTGTGCCGGCAGGACTGAAGACTGACAGGTCGGAAGTTCGAATCCGGGGAGAGCGTGGATGAGCTCCCTCTGTCAGTTTCGACTCCCTATGCAGGGAAATGAGAAAAGCTTCTCACAAGGATGGAAAAACTTCAAAACATCCGGGTGTCTCCTGGGCAGCATCCTTGCAGATGACCAGTTCTCTCAAACCAGAAGCAACTTGCAGTTTCTCAAGTTGCCCCTGACTCACACAATAGGGTAGCCAGGACCTGCAGTCTGGGAAGCTCTGTAGGCCACCATTGCCCATCCTTGGCTTAATAAAATTGATGTGAAGTAGATGATCTGATTTAGATCACAAATACCACATGCCACATGCAAAGTGCACATTATTTCTCTGATGACTACACAATAGAGTTGAGGAGTCCAGACCTCTGGTTACATAGGCTAATTTTTATGAGTTAATATGAGGAAATCTTGGTTTGTTCATTTCTCATCACTTTGTTTGACACATTCCACAGATGAAGCCTGAGGAGCTCTGTTTGGTAAAGGTTGGGTCTTGAAGGGATAAGGATAATGTGATCAGAATAGAGAGATATACATAATATAAAAAAGTATTTTGGACTTCTAGTCCTAGAGTTCCTGACCGATAGCCATAGTTGCTGGGACTTCTAGGAATTGAAGTTCAAAACATCTAGAGGGCCAACACTGAAAACCCCTGCAATAGAAGAACATGTTTATATGAAGGAATTGTATTGATAAAGTTTTGGGTACTAGATAACAATGCACTATTTGAATACACATTAATTTAGACTGCATTTTTTACAGATGGGTCAGCAGTAGAGAAGATGGATGTGATAGCACTTTTGACAGGTTTAATTGCAATTGGAGTGCTGCTGGTTATAACTGGCTTACTTATTTATTATCTCTGCCAAAGAAGGTGCAAGCCAAGATTGACAGGGTAAGGAATCAAATATTGACAATATTGTGCCTACTTTCATTGTGTGCTCTGCACAAATTGCTGCATTCCAGTAGGTGTGCATTTGTTTCCTGTGTTTGCCAATCATATCCTGATGGAATTTATACTGGGCAATAGTTGTGTATATAAGGGGATCTATTCATACTGCTCAATTATGGCACTATGGGCCCACTTGTTGCATCCTTTGGAATCAATGGACTTTTAATATTGGCGAGTTATGGAACATAACATTTACAGAAGCAGTTCTGTTAAGTTTTGTTTCCCTTTTTAAAAACAGTGTATTATTTGAAAAAAAAATACAGCGGAGGATATGTTCCCGTCCAGACCACAATTACCAAATGCCATTAAAGTGCTTGACTTCCAGTCCAAGTCTACCATAGAGTTGCAATGGAATATCTAGAGATTCCTAGGAAGGTAGCCTTGATCCTCTAGCACAACTCTGGTAATTTACTAGCTGCTAGAACCTAGCATTTCATTTCAGATTATTCCACATGAGAGGGGAGGAGGATTACATTATGTGGACAATTTTTTAAAAAATAAAATGGGTATCCATTCTGCGGGAAGGAGATATTCAATCAAAATAGAAACTCTTACTTATGAGGACAAAGGATAAACTTTGCCCCCAAGTAGTGTCACTGTTAAAACACCGTTGGGGTGTGGGAAGGGTTACCAATTGATAATGTTACCAATTGATAGGCAAGGGAAATTTTGTAAAGTTTCCCATTTCAAGCAATCAATCCTGGTAACATGATATCCAAAAGACTGCCTCCTCCCATGTTAGTCTATCCATACTTTTCATACTTCATATGAAGTCCTTTCATATATTAAATCACCAGAAGAGGCTGGGGCAGAAATTCAAGAAAAGGCCTTCTTTGGGAATATCCTTCTTGTGGGATTTTTTCCCTCCTGAGGATGTTTAGACGTCACTTCTTTGTTCAATTTCAGGTGGAAGAACAAAAAAAAATTGCCCTTTTTTTGGGATCCTCTTTCTCTTAATTCTCTTAAAATTAAATGTTTAAAATAATGTAAAAGCTATTCTACAAAAACTTATTCTAGTGAAATTAGATCAGCCAGTTCCCTCCTGACCTTCAGGAAAACGCTAAAGATGTGGATGTGGACTAAGCGTTTGGTTAGTAATAAGAGAATATGGATTAGTTCAATGATAACCTGGAATGTACTCAGATTATGATATTGAATTATGTGATATTAAATAAGTGGTTTTAAGGTTTGATATGTTTTTAATGATTGTTTTAATGTATATGGTATGCTTATTTTACTATGTATGTGCATATGGCATCGAATTTATGCCTATATATGTAAGCCGCCTTGAGTTCCCTATGGCATGAGAAGGGCAAGATATAAATATAGTAAACACAAAATGTATTTATTTTATTTATTATTTAAATCAACTTGATGCTGTTTGTGCCAAAAGGCATCTTTATAAATAAATTCAAAACATAAACTTTCCTAGAACAAGCCACCCCACCAGGAAAGATTACTCTACTCTTTTCTTTTCTGTGGGAATCAAAATGTTTCTGTCTTGGATAAGAAAAAATCCTAACTCATGAAATTATATATCTTAAGACCCAGGTAACTTAAGCAAAACACAGGTGTCCGGGTTTTTGGGGTTTCTCCTGTCTAGAAAAAATGGTTTGGAGTATAGTACTTGGCACACCATAGCTTTAAAAGGCTACTTAATAGTTGCTTTAAAAACAGTTGCTGAATCTTCTTTGGGAGAAGAAAGCAGATAATAATAATAATAATAATAATAATAATAATAATAATAATAATAATCTGTTTAATCAAAAATATACTTTTATTCCAGGTACCCAAGCTGCAGGAGGCACCACCACTCCTCCATCATCTTTCAAAGACGTGAAGAAGTCCCCTTATCCTCTCTCCCCCCACATTCAGAGCACATAGGACTGCCCTCTTATGAGCAAGCGGTGGCACTAAGAGGCAATCATGACGTCCCACCTCCACCATATCCAGGCCCTTCGGGAGGTTTTAAATTCTTCAAAAAATCCATCTCACATCCTGGTCCTTAATTAAAAAGCATGGCTTGTGAAGTGGTTGAGAATCACTCTTGTCTGAAAGAAGATGTATTGCTGAAATGCTGCAGCATTGTGTTCACTCCAGGAGCCTTTCACAGTATGAAAGGGTTATAGCTCTTCAGTATGCCTAAGAGGAAGTGGAATGTGTCAGGTGAACAAGGAAACCATCCTTCGTCAATGTTCTGGTGGTTAAGGATGAAAGGCGCCTTTTGTTATGCTTCTCTTTAGGTGCTAAGAACTGTATTGAACTTGGCTCCCATGCATTTTGAGCCACTCACTGAATTGATATGCCACTTTTCCTGTTTCTCAGGATCTATAGTTTCATCTTCAGTTTTGAAGATGCATTTGTTGATCAATGGTTTTTAATTATGACTTTTAATCAGTAATAAAATAGGAATTGCTGTGTAGAATAAGAGCACAATCTTTGCTCTCAACTCACAAGAAAAGGAAGAAAGAGCAGTTTGTTAACATTTCAGTACTCAAACTAAGCAATGTTTAATCTACATGTCTTAGGCTATGTGTTTATATCTTTTCCTCTTCAATGGTTTACAAGCAAAAAGTTCTGATATTGTACGCTGTGCCATTACACTTTCTTTTCTTTTCTCAGTGCCCATTAAATTATAAATGTTAAGGATGGGACTTGTTTATTGCTTTTTATGTTTGTGAAAAATAACTGCTTTATCAGACCAAAGATCCATTTCATTTAGCACTCTGTCTCAAGCAATAGATAGCCAGAGACTCTGTCAAAGGAGAGGAAGAAGGGCCATACTGGAAAGCCAAAGTATTTATTGACAAACCTTTTCTAGAAATCTTAGTCCATGATATTATTGGAGCAAATTGAAAGTGAGGAATGGGAGTTGGTAGCCATCTCTTAAGTCCAGCATCAGTTAGAAATGCATATAAAAATCCGATTCAAAAATACAATTTAAAAGATTTCAGTTATTTTAAAAATGAAACTGAGGATAATCTCAAAATGAAAATAATACGGAATATTCCATTGATTCTAGCATGCTAGCTAGAATCATTGTACTGGTATATAACTTTGGTGTTGGATTGTAGCAGCAAAAATGCAATACAGCTGGAGCTAGGAAAGAATGAGATCCTTCTAAATTTAAACCATGTGTGCCAGCATCCAACAGGGATGGTGAACTGCAGCTGCTTCCAGAATCCATTGCTGGCCATATGCGAATAGCAAAACAGATGTATGTGTGTGGGAGGTCAAATAGATCTACTTCGCCAGCATGTTAAATGGCAAGATCTATAACTATGATCACTAAAACAGAAATAAGAAGAACAGTGGAGGCTAGTAAAAGAAAAATATACCCAAATGCATTTTGGAAGAAGGCTTCAAGTGGTCTCTAAAGGTTCAAAATGTTTTTGCTTACTTAAGGTGCAGCTATAAAGTAGAATTAATGCACTTGGCACCATTTTAACTGCCATGGTTCAAAACTATAGAACCCTGAGACTTGTAGTTTGGTGAGACACCAGCAGTCTTTGGCAGAGAAGGCTAAATACTTTGTAAAACTACAGGTCGCGTGAATCCATAGCATTGAGCTATGACACTGGTATCAGTCCTCAATAATTCTACAGTGTGTTGTTGTTGTTCATTCGTTCAGTCGTCTCCGACTCTTCGTGACCTCATGGACCAGCCCACGCCAGAGCTCCCTGTCGGCCGTTACCACCCCCAGCTCCCTCAAGGTCAGTCCAGTCACTTCAAGGATGCCATCCATCCATCTTGCCCTGGGTCGGCCCCTCTTCCTTTTGCCTTCCACTTTCCCCAGCATCAGTCTCTTCTCCAATCTTTCCTGTCCTCTCATTATGTGGCCAAAGTACTTCATCTTTGCCTGTAATATCTGTCCCTCCAGTGAGCAGTTGGGCTTTATTTCCTGGAGTATGGACTGGTTTGATCTTCTTGCGGTCCAAGGCACTCTCAGCACTTTCCTCCAACACCACAGTGCAAAAGCATCTATCTTCCTTCGCTCAGCCTCCCCTATGGTCCAGCTCTCACATCCGTAGGTGACTACGGGGAATACCATTGCTTTAACTATGTGGATCTTCATTGCCAGTGTGATGTCTCTACTCTTCACTATTTTGTCGAGATTGGACATTGCTCTCCTCCCAAGAAGGAAGCGTAGTCAAGCTGTATCTGACCTGGTTGTTTCAGATGTGCATATTGTTAATTTTGGATCAAAAGTTTGCTGAAGCATGTTGAATTCTTCCTTTTTTGTGATGCACAAACCCGCCCCCTTCTTTCCATGTTATTTCTGTCTCTGATACCAAATGTTCTGTTAAATAATATTCAATATGCTGTTTTAACTGTATCTATATAATTAAGATATTAGACTCACTGCCAAAAAAGAAAGGAAAAGCTCACACGATTGCCAATTAGGTAATTTGTGGAAAAGATAATAAATTGGTCAGAGGATAATTGATTTTATATGTGTGTATTATTCTTGATTATATTTAGAGCTAGCATGTTGTAGTAGTTTGAGTGTTCGACTAGGATATAGAGAGGGTTTGTATTCCTGCTTGACCATAGAAATCCCAGGTGGCCTTGGGTAAGTCATACTCTCTCAGTCTCCAAGGGAGGCAATGGCAACCCCCTTTGAACAAACCTTGAGGGCAAGTACTGTGATGGGGCCACTTGTAGGCATGAAGTGGCACCTCCACAGTAGTGAATACTTTGGCCTACCTACGGTAAAGGTGTAGCCCTGCTGATGCATTGGATTGCAGCTCTCAGTATTTGTCATCATACACAAGAGCTTTTGTCTGCCAATATCTGAGAAGTAGTAGACATGTGTCTACTACTTCTATATTATGCACAATAGATGCACTGACTGAAATATGGCCACAAGAAGATAATGTTTCTTGAACTAGCCTTTTTGAAAATGTCCTGCTTTGATGAATAATTCTCACATACCACTATAGAAGTTACCTTAAATGTACATTGTTTCTAAAATGGGTGTTGAGGCCTCTCTGGAGTCTAATACTTCAGGCTATAAATTCTCATTAGTTTCTTCAGTGAATAAAAGTTACTATGTGTTTTCTCCACACCTGAGGCAAGAGAAGATGCACACACCCATCCCACACTGCTGCATTTTGCAATAACTAACTATTGCCTTAAGCTAAGTGTTGTGGGTGGTGGAGTTGTCTTTGTGGTAGAGGTTGAGTATCCTTCATCTGCAATTCCAAAATATCCAAAATTGTTTACATGGGGGGGGGGGGGGGCTAAAGTCATGACAACCTTGTTTTCTGATGGCTCAATGTACACAAACTTTGTTACATGCACAAAATTATTAAAAAATATTAAAAATCCTACTCAATCAGGAGTCAGAGTGCAAGTGCACTGGTCCAACACACAAAATGGCCTTTTTGTTGAGTGCCTTCAAGTTGTTTCCATCTTATCGCTACTCTAAGGGGTTTACTTTTACCTTCCTCTGACTCCTGATAAAGATACTTCATCCTACCAAATAAGGAGCCCCCAGTGGCACAATGGGTTAGACCAGTGGTTCTCAACCTGTGGGTCCCCAGGTGTTTTGGCCTACAACTCCCAGAAATACCAGCCAGTTTAGCAGCTGTTAGGATTTCTGGGAGTTGAAGGCCAAAACATCAGGGGACCCACAGGTTGAGAACCACTGGGTTAGACCCTTGTGCTGGCAGGACCCCTGGGTAATGTGCTTGCAGACAGCCAATTCTCTTACACCAGAAGCGACTTGCAGATTCTCAAGTCACTCCTGGCACGAAAAAAAAATCCTACTCAATTCAAGAGCTGGTTGTGTCTTCTACTGGGAAAATGAGTTGTGTCACTAACTGGTATAGATCCCTTGAATCACTGGGATTTTCCTATGTTTTGATCAATTTTGACTGAATGGGTTTACTCTAGTTGAAACTAACCAAAAAGATCCCAAACTGCACCTGTTGCAAATGCTGTAAGTTTATATTTTAAAAGTATAAGTATACTTCGATTAACAAAGCCTTTAACAAAAAAGCTGCTTTTTAGAAAATTTGTAAATGAGAGAACAGACTAGCCCTTTTTCCATCTTCTATCCGGATTTTATTTCCATTTTTTGGCAGCATTGGCATTAGGAGGATGGTGAAAAAGGATTGGAGAAAAAGGATTGGAGAAAGGGTGCCTGCACTAAATCATAAAATAAAGCTTGACCTGAGAAAGAATGAGCTTCTTCTCTAGGTGATCCTACTATTGCTCTGTCTGCTTAGGTATAGCAAACAAGGAAAACAGTTGCCTGCAGAATCACTTACTGAGCATGTGTAAAGAGCTAAAAAAAAGAAAAGGAGAAAGCAGATTAGTCTGCCTCATCAGCTACTCTACCATAATGAAAAAGCATATTTTTTACGAACAAAATGGGAATCAGAAGTACATACAGACTGTTGGGGGATCTCTGGAATGTGTTTTGGAAGCTTTCAAGTGGTCTCTATAAGATTCAAAATGTTTTTTTATTTATTTATGCAAGGCTTACTTGACCTGATTGTTTGCTTTCACACATGCATAATGACAGTTTGGAATACAGAGTTTGCTGAAACACAATGAACTACTCTTCTTTTTTATGGTGCAGAAACCCAGTCTTATACTTTTCATGTTATTTCTACTTCGAGTACCAAAGTTTGTTAAAGAAATGAATCCTAGGAACACATTAATTTTGTTAACGGAGGCATACCTGTACACAAGAAAGTGATATTGCTCTGTGGTTGTTCTGGCAGGATTCAATTTTGGTTTTCTTATATTGTTGAATTCCTGCTCTGGAAAAGAAAAGTTCCCTTTTCTTTCAGAGTCAAGAATGAGTAGCCGAGGGATGATACTTTATCAGGTGTGCCCCATGAAGAGTTCAATATCACAACTTGTGGTGTTAGAAGGCTCCATGCAACCATACTTTTCCTTGGCAGCTGTTATCAATTGCACTCTTATCTGGTTAAATACTTTATATAAAGTATAACTCCATGTGTTGAATGTAACATCCAGTGAATGCACACCTGATGACATTACATTGTTCATGGAT